TGATTAGAACACTAATTTCCACAAAAAACATCTAGAGAAAAATTTCATTGTGAGTAGAACTCCAAAAGGTCAGGCTGGTGTAGCAAGAGTTAATCAACCATAAATATCAGCATACCTGACGCCTCGGATGGGCATCTTATGCGCCTGATACACCTGCACATTATTCATGTTAGCTTGCCAGTATTTCACATAACCGGCATGATCAGCAGTAAGTAGCCAATCATCATTGTGAGACCACTTCATGCAACGTATTTGGGACTCATGAGCCTAACAAGTAGTAGTGCACTGAGATAAAATGCCTACCTGTAAAATGGTTTCAAAATTAAACGTGAGCCCATTCCAAAGAGTGAATTCGCCAGTGTAAGCACCAGTTATCAGTCGCCGACCTTCTGGTGTCCACTAAGCTTACGGTAATGATAGCACACCAGCTTACACACACACAATAAATCGGACACTTGTTTTTATTTGTTGATGTTCGAACAAGTTTACCGGTAACACAGTTCATAGGATTGCTAAGATACTCGCTTGGAGGACCCAGCTAAAAAAAATGGCGAAGAGTAAGAAAAGCTGTGCGCAACGATAAAAAAGGCAGATAAACAGCTTACTAGAAAATTATACAAATAATCAGGTTGCAAGGCTATTCGAGAACGAGGGGAAATCTGCCAAACTCTATCTCTCAAGTAGTTCATTATAGACGCATTATAATCAATCGTTCGCCGAAAAATTGCCTTCCGCATACGTCTAGCGTCAGGTCCAACGGTTCCTAGTATCCTCTGCTGTGAATTATCCAAATTGGATGATTGGGTTGTGCTCATGGCCGGTACAAAACCAAAAAACACACACAACTGAAGTAAGCGCTAGAACAAATGCATTTGGAGAACATCAAGTTGAAGAAACACTTAGCAGCACAAAGTTGAGGTGAAGTCAAAGGTACTACTGAACAGCCGAAAGGCAATGTATCTTGCATAACTAAAGTTAGGTCAAAAGAATAAAATTCAAATTCAACATAAAAAG